ACTTTAGTACATATGTTGACTTCATCATTCTTATGACACCCACTTTCCACTTGAGACCCTGGTGTCAGCTCATTTTTTCCCCCTCCCTCCCTGCTCCCCCCTTCCCCTGAACCCCTGATAATTTATAATTTATTATTATTTTATCAAAATTTCTTCTTAAAAGTTCCTTCATGCTCTTATGAGCAAAGTCTTCTTTAGCTAGGAGGAGGCAAAATATATATATAGGCAAAAAATAATTTATAATTTATTATTATTTTATCAAAATTTCTTCTTAAATGTTCCTTCATGCTCTTATGAGCAAAGTCTTCTTTAGCTAGGAGGAGGCAAAATATATATATAGGCAAAAAATATGAATTTGTAAGAAATCACTATTTTATTATAACAAATATATCTATTAAATTTTAAGTTAGCAATATCAAAGAAAGTTTTTATAATTTATCAGCTAATAAAACCCTTTAAGATCTAATTGAATGTAGGTATTGTTAGTCTAGTTTACTAAGTAATTATTACAGACATCTTTATAACATGTATGTGACCATAAACTAAAGCAGTTTAATTCATATTAGAAACAAAGGAAATACTTATGGTATGTAAATGATGATTAGAGTTTTGAAGTATGTATTTAAACTGTATATATTTGCTAACTTGAACAAGATCATGACTAAAACACATTCCTTCATATTTAAGTAATTTTTGAGTTCATAAAATGTATTGAGTGTAAATTAATATTTTATAGTGATAAAATGTTTCATTATTTGGTACTGAGAAAATGTCTCATTTGCAGTAGAAAGAAAATTATCAGTATAACTATATGAACAAAACATAATCTTTTAAAAAAGATTACCTACAGAATTTAGATTTGATTGTTTCAAATACAAAAGAATACATAATAAACACATCATCCTGAAAGAGAATGAGCAAACATTGATCTTGACAATAGATATAAATCTCCTAACTTAAAATCTATTTCCCTGTGGAGTCACTCAGTACCTTGGACAAATCATTAAACCAGATAAACTTCCAGATGCTTTTAACGGAAAGTAAAAAAAGAACATTTATTTTCCAAACTAAAGATCTGAGAAAAGGTTTAGAAAAGGAGATTCAGAGGAAATTAAATAAGCAGACTCTATACTGCGTTATGACGGCGATGTGATGTGATTAAAGTGATAGGTATAAAAAGGATATCAATTTAAGTTGTTACCAAATTCTTCAGAGAAATTTTTAATCCATACTCAATGATGCTGTTTTGAGAAATTTTTCTTTTTCTTTTCTTTTTCTCCAGCTCTGATGAAATTCAAAAGGAATTTAACCATGAGAAACCATACGATGGTGACTACATTCATTCTTGTAGGACTAACTGATGAGTTAAACTAACAAATCTTCCTCTTCCTATTTCTAACATATTTATTAAG